CATGAATTCAGGAGAAACTGGCATGTCTGAGTTTAGAAACCACAAACTTAGACTATGTGTTTAATTTTCGGGAAAGATTAAATAGAATAGGTGAGTTAGCCAGACAGCAATTGAAAGTAGCATAACATGGTAAAACAGGAAGCAGACAATAAATCAAAAATGTGTAATTTTCCTAGTGCAGATAAAGAGTTTAGATGAACGTTTAAAAACAGGGTATCAAATTGAAAGGAAATTGAGTGAGGTGAACTATTTGATAAGAAAGAAATCTCACAGGATGTGTCATGTGAATATACTCAAAAGATATTTTGAAGTGGAAGGAGGCAAAAGGAGAATGTTGTACTGGTCACAACACAGATTGAAGAACTAAGTTCAGGTGATTTTGAATTAGACATTCCTCTAATTAAACTGGACAACGAGGAAGCTCTCAAAAATTGGTATAAATTATTGAGTTACCTTCCAGAGGAAAATCAAAATGAGCTGAAAGAGTCATTACAATCACATAGGGAGATATATGATAATGAACTGGGAAGTGCTAATCTGATCACGTTGATATGGATGTAGGAAATGCTGTTCCAATTAAGCAACATCCTTACAGATTTAACCCTTTAAATGTGGCATAGGTTCAAAAATAAAAGACTGAACACATGCTCAAAGGCAATATAATCAAAATGAATTGTAGCAAATGCAGTTCACCCATATCAATGGAGCCAAAATCAGATGGTATCCCAAGGATTATGTATGGACTATCGCTAGGTCAATACAGTTACAAATTCTGATTCATATCCTATTCCATGTTTGGAAGACTCTATTGAGAAGGCACAAAGAACTTATATTTCTAAATTGGACTTGCTCAGAGGATGCTGTCAGATACCTTTATCCAAAAGAGTGAAAGAAATTTCAGCTGACACCGAATGGACTGTACCACTTTAAAGTCATGCCATTCGGTGCGAAAAATTCACATTTCAAGGACGAACCAATATAGTCATTTCAGGATTATAGTATTGCGTAGTGTACATCGACAACCTAGTGACTTTTAGTCTCACGTGGAAGGAACATTTGCAGCATCTGTCAGAGTTGTTCGATCGACTTCAGGAGGTGGGCTTAGTGATAAACCTGGCTGAAAGTGAGTTCACTAAAGTCCAGTCACGTTCTTGGGCCATGTAATTGGACATGGACAAATGGCCCCACAGGATATGAAAATAAACGTTATTGGGGAGTTTCCCATACCATCAATGAAGAGGGAAGTACTAAGGTTCCTGGGACTGAGTAGTTTTTAAATCGGAAGTTAGAATTTTAGCGGCGTGGTTGCTCCACTGACCAAATTGTTGAAGCAGTGTAGAAAATTTCAGTGGAAGGGGCAAATGTCAGAAGGCATTCAGCAGCCTGAAAGCTGTGTTACCCATTGCCCCAGTGTTAGCCACACCTAATTATGCAAAGCCATTCAAAATGGCTATCGATGTGAGTGATGTGGGTGTTGCTGCTACACTCTTGCAAGAAGACGATGAGAAAATAGAAAGACCTATTGGGTATTTTTCCAGAAAACTGATTAATCATTAACAGAAACATTCCAGAATTGAGAAGGAGGCCATGAATATGGCTTTGACATTGCAAAATTTATATTGCCTGTATTGTGTCTATGACAACTATATATACTGATAACACACCAATTCGACTTTTTCAAAAAAAAAAATCGAGACTAAAAACACCAGTCTGTTTAAATGGAGATAAATCACTGCAGCCATTCAGTTTGAAAATTATACACGTGGCAGGACGAAAGAACATAACTGCTGATGGATTGTTGTGACTTTGATAAAGGAGGAATGTTCAGTGGTGGGAGAAAACAGACTGAAATGGACTGTAGTCATGAATGTTTGCATGCTCAAGGTGAATGTAATGTACATGTATTATGGTGTACTAATAGTGCAAGGCTAAAGATTTTTTTTAAAGATGAAGCCATCTTAGTATATTGACGTTTTTATTTAAAATGGAGGGATGTATGGTTTTAAGAGGTGTATTTTGTCCTGGATTTTTAATGAAGAAAGGTTGAGACAGAGGTAAAGAGCAGTCTGCGCGAAGCCAATAAAGTCAACAGCTTGTCACGCATTGTTTCTTTTTCCAAAAATAGCTGAAAAAAATAGAAGCAGCATGAATGGGTAGGGTCAAGCTCCCACGGAATCAGGATTTTTAGTTTTAGCTTTCCGCAGTTGCTGGAATCTTGAAGCAGGATGTAGAAGCACTTAGTCCTCTCTCTGTTACAGCTAAAAGCTGGTATTCTCTTCCTGCTGCTAGAATTGCATGCAAGACAATCTATTTTGCTGAATTTGCTTTTACCAAAGGTATATTTATGGGATGTTACAATATAGGAACACTTATTTAATACTAGTTAATAACCTATTATTTTGTTAAGCATTTCTATGGAGTTACAGTTATGCCGATTCTTTTCTTTTTATTTCGTTTGTATTTTAACTGCAGTACAAAAATAAAGCGTGTTTGGCTTAATGTCGAGTAGTTTGACCAAATCGAATTGCATCTGGAACGCAACACCTTATACTTACCTTTAAAGTAACAAAAAGTTACTGTCAAGACTATCTTAATATATTTTGAGGTGGTTGGTCTGATCCATAACATGGTTAGTCCCCACTTTGAGTCGTGAGAGCAGATCTGGGCAATGGCCTTTGAAGGAGTACAACGCAGGCTTAGAAGAATGATACCATAATACCATAAGACATAACAGCAGAAATTAGCCATTTGGCCCCTCGAGTCTGCTCCATCATTCAATCATGGCTGATAAGCTTCTCAATCCCGTTCTCCAGCTTTCTCCCCTCAGGACTGAAGAAGGGTTATACCCGAAATGTTGACTGCTCCTTTCCTCCCAATGCTGACTGGTTTCCTGTGCTGTCTGCCTTGGATTCCAGCATCTGCAGTTTTTTTTTGTCTCTTGCCAAGACCCTATCTATCTCTGTTTTAAATATACTCAATGACCTGGCCTTCACAGCCTTTTGTGGCAATGAATTCCATTGAATCACCACTCTCTGGCTGAAGAGGTTTCTCCTTATCTCCATTCTAAAAGGTCTTCCCTTTACTCTAAAGGTTGTGCCCTCGTGTCCTAGTCTCTCCTAACAATGGAAACATCATCTCAACATCCACTCTGTCCAGGCCACTCAGTATTCTGTAAGTTTCAATTAGATCCCCCTTCATCCTTCTAAACACCATTAAGTATACACCCAGAGTCCTCAAACGTTCCTCATATGTTAAACCTTTCATTCATTGGATCATTCTCATGAACCTGCTCCAGGGCCAGGAATCTTTCCTGAGGTATGGGGCCCAAACTTGCTCACAATCCTCTATATTGGTCTACCAGAGGTTTATAAAGCCTCAAAAGTAGACCCCTGCTTTTATATTCTAGTCATCTTGAAATAAATGCCAACATTGTAGTTGCCTTCCTAACTACCAACTCAACCTGCAAGTTTACCTTAAGAGAATCCTGGACTAGAACTCCCAAGTCCCTTTGCACTTCAGCTTTCGAAATTTCCTCCCCATTTAGAAAATGGTCCATGCCTCTATTCCTCCTATCAAAGTGCGTGACTTCACACTTTCCCACGTTGTATTCCATCTGCCACTTCTTTGTCCACTCTCCTAACCTGTCTAAATCCTTCTGCAGCTTCCCAGCCTCCTCAAAAATACCTGTCCCTCTACCTATCTTTGTATCATCTGAAAACTTAGCCAGAATGCCTTCAGCTCCTTCATCTAGATCATTAATATATAAAGTGAAAAGTTGTGGTCCCAACACTGACCCATGTGGAAAACCACTACTTACCGGCTGCCATCCTGAGAAGGAACCTTTTATCCCCACTCTCTAGTTTCTGCCAGACAACCAATCTTCTATCCATGTTCACACCTTGCTCCTAACACCACAGGCCCTTATCTTACTCAGCAGCCTCCTGTGTGGCACCTTGTCAAAGGCCTTCTGGTAGTCCAGGTAGATAACATCCATTGGCTCTCCTTGGTCTAACCTGCTCATTACCTCCTCAAAAAATTCTAACAGATTTGTCAGGTATGACCTCCCCTTGATGAAACCATTCTGACTGCCCGATTTTACCATGCACTTCCAGGGGGTCAAGCTATGAACAGAGATAATGCAAAGTAGGCCTGTCTTCCCAGAATTTAGAAGGGTTAAGAGGTGATCTGATTGAAATCTTCAAGATATTAACAGGAAAAGGCAGGTAGATAAAGATAAACTAAGAAGCACAATCTAAAATTTAGGGCCAGGCTATTCAGGAGCCATGATAGGTAACATTTCAGCAGACAAATCATAGAATAGCTGCAGTGTGGAAACAGGCCATTCGGCCCAACAAGTCCACACCGCCCCTCCTAAGAGCATCCCACCCAGACCCATTCCCCTACCTCCACATTTCCCTTGTCTAACTTAAACATCCCTGGTCACTATGGGAAATTTAGCATAGCCAATCCACCTACAGGTTTGATAACTCTTCCATAAACAGCAGTCGATACGAGATTAGTTGTTAGTGTTAAACCCGAAGTACAAAAATTTTTTTTAAGCGCACATATTCAGGGATATGTGCCAACAGGGATTTAGGCCACAGATTAAGCAGGATCTCACTGAATGGCCTACTCCTGTTCCTATAGTACTGATAAAGAGGATGTAAATGATGCTTCTTTTACAAATTAAGTCCAGATTTTTAAAAGGGGGTAAAACTTCAATTGAACTTCATGCTTTGAACTAAGGAGTAAATTTTCCACTTTTACTTCTGGTTAATAGTATGTTAAAGAAAAGGCTACTCATTTAATAATCAAAACTGCAATTAAAAATAATCCCAAGTGTTTAACAAACCTTAATATTGCGTTTTGAAGTGAGTACATTCAAAAGCTTATTATCACGAGGAGAGATTGGATACAAATCAATGATATTTAAAAAGCTCAATATGGTTCATTTCAATTTTATGGGTTTAATCACAGAATATATTAATAAAGATTATCACCTCCATTGCTTGAGCCAACCGCTCTTCCAGAGCCATAAAGGTAAGTAATTGTGGATCAACAGATGAAATAGCTTGAGCTGTAAGTCCTTCACCAAGTTCGTCAAGCAATCTGAGAAAAAAATGAAATTGACAATATGAAGGTATGCATAATAAGAGCCCATGATGTAGGAGGTAACAATAGTGCGTGTAGAGGATTGGTTAGTTAACAGGAAACAATAAATATTAAGAAATAGGTAATTTCAGCTTGGCAACATATGACAAGTGCAGCACTACAGAGATCAGTATTGGGGCCTCAACTATTCATAATTTATACGAATGACTTGCATGAAGAGCCACAGGATGTACATTGGATAGCAACCTGTGCCATCACCAGTGAGGAAAGGTTGGATAGGCTTGACTTATAGCCACTAGAGTTCAGAAAAATGTGAGGTCATCTTACTGCGACATAGAACATCCTGGTATGGTTTAAAAAGATGATTGCTAAAAAGGATGACTCCCGTTTTGAGGGAAACCAGAATCAAGGGACACAGCTTTAAAATAACGGGTCTTGAATTTAAGACAACCATGAGGAGATTTTTTTTTTGAGGAGTCTTTGTGACTGCCTTCCATAGAGAGTGGTAGAGGTAGAGTTACTGAATATTTTTAAGGCAGAGGTAGATTAGATTCTTCACTAACAAGCGCATTAAACTGAATAGGAATAGGTCGGAATATAGACTCAAGACCGCAATCATATCAGCCATAACCTTGAATGATGGACTAAGATCAAGCAGCCAAATGGATTAATCTAACTTGCATTTCATATGTTTGCAGCACTAAAACAATTTTTCAAATTGTTAATAAGGTGTAGAGCTGGATGAACACAGCAGGCCAAGCAGCATCACAGGAGCAGGAAGGCTGACGTTTTGGGCCGAAATTGTTTATTAAATTTTTAAAGCCAGGAAAAATACTCAAGCAAAAACGAAGGATTCTAAAAATTATTTCTAAGTCAAATATAATTGAATTAAGTCAAGAGTGGAACAGAAACCATAAGAAATCATTTGATTAATTTAACTGAGATGATGCTCTGCAAGTATGGTTAAACATTATTGTTCATTCACAGAATTCAAAATTTAAACCTGGAATTTTTTTTCTACTTTTTAACAGAACATGGTTTTTTATGACCACATTTAGTATTAGTTGGTACAATAAAATATTCGCCATTAACCATTTTCTTTATATTAAATGTATACTCAAAATCTGGCTATACGTGTTTTTAAGCAGTTAATCACCTAATAAACTACCCTTTAGCTTTTTTGGAATAAGAAAGATTGCGTAGAGAAAAGTCAGAAGGAAACAATATTTAACTGTTCTCCAAACTCAGTAACACCAGCCACACTGGATGACAATTCACACCACAGTTTTCAAGGATCTCCCATTATGGCCAAAAAAGTGAGATGCTTCAAAACACTGTTTATAGTTGACTACATGTCAAAGCTCAAAATTCTTGGATTCCCCAATACATAGGTGAAAACATTTTGAGGCTGATGTCCAAGGATTTTGACCTCATAAGCTATCCAGTAGATGATTACATCATGTCAAAGAATGACAGGTCACGAAATGAGAAAGTGCAGATGCCCACTCCTAAAACATAAAGCAGTCGCACTGCTGTCATTAGAATCAACCGTAGTTTGGCAGATGGAGATGGTGAAGTGGAAATCAATGGTGTCAATTCTTACAGATAACACAGTGTGGAGCTGGAGGAACATAGCAGGCCAGGCAGCATCAGAGGAGCAGGAAAGTTGACCTGAAACATCAACTTCCCTGCTCC